GCCCTCTGGGCCCCCGTGTCCTGGCCCTCGGGGCGTGGGGCGCCCTCTCAGACTCTCGGGTCTCAGCTGAACCACAGAAGCAACTCCGCGGACAGCAAGTGGCCTGCGGCCAGCTGGACTTCTAAAGCGAAGCTGACAGCCAGGGGACTTCACAGCAGGGGACACTCCTTACAGTACATGGGGGGAACCTCATGCCGGGAGACACCCCTTTGAGTACGTCGGGGGTACCTCATGCCGGGGGATGCCCCTTAGAGTACATTGGGGGGGGTACCACACACTGGGGGACGCCCCTTAGTACACATCGGGGAACCCCACGCCAGGAGACGCCCCTTAGGGCGCATAGGGGAACCCCACACCGGCAGGGGGATGCCCCTTAGGGCACGTCGGGGAACCCCACGCCAGGGGACACCCCTTAGGGCGCATCAGGGAACCCCATGCCGGCAAGGTGGACGCTGGTCGCGGTGAGAAGACGGGGCGACACGAGGCTTTGGAAGAGGAAGGGGACCTGCAGCCGCGGGACCCTCACACGGGGAGTGTGGGTGCTCAGTGGGCTGACCACGGCCACTGGAGAGGCGCCCGGGCAGGCCGAGGCCTCCCCACGCAGGCCGAGGCCCCCCCAAGCAGGCCGAGGGCCCCCACAGCAGGCCGAGGGCCCCCCAAGTAGGCCGAGGGCCCCCACAGCAGGCCGAGGGCCCCCAAGCAGGCCGAGGGCCCCCCACGCAGGCCGAGGCCCCCCCCAAGCAGGCTGAGGGCCCCCCAAGCAGGCCGAGGCCCCCCCCAAGCAGGCCGAGGGCCCCCCAAGCAGGCCGAGGGCCCTCACAGCAGGCCGAGGGCCCCCACAGCAGGCCGAGGGCCCCCCAAGCAAGCCAAGGGCCCCCCCAAGCAGGCCGAGGCCCCAAGCGCGGGGACACAGAGCGCAGACTGGCCGGAGCCACAGCAGCGGGTCCTGGCACCGGCCTGGCAGGGAGAGGCGGGCGCGGGGTGGGGGAGTCACCGAGGGTGGGGGGCAGACGGCCTGCGGGCAGCGTGCCCCTTCGAGCCGTCTGGGTTGGCCTGAGCCAGTGAGCTCGCAGACGCCCCGAACGCCCCCAGGCTCCCAGGCCCAGCCGGAGTGGGGTCGAGGCGGGCCCCTGGCAGGCGGGGGTCAGTGGTGGGGCGGGCCCCAGCCAGGAGCACCCCCCCACCGTGCCTGGCGGAAGCGGAAGGCCGGCGGCATCACCGCGGGCTGCCGGGGCTCTGGACCGCCCGGCCGCAGGGGCAGGGGCTGCCCTGCTCAGCCCGTGCAGGGAGAACCCCCGGGGGGACCGTCCCCCCCAATGGCCCCGGCTCCCGCCGACCCGGGGAGAGCTGTCTGCCCGGGGAGAGGGGCAGGGGCTGCCCTGCTCAGCCCGTGCAGGGAGAACCCCCGGGGGGCCGTCCCCCCCAATGGCCCCGGCTCCCGCCGACCCGGGGAGAGCTGTCTGCCCGGGGAGACCGCCAGCAGCCCTCAGGCGGTCAGGTGCCGCTCCTGGTCTGCTGGGGGGGCCCCCCCACACCTCACGGTCCGGCCCAGGAGCCATCTTGATGGCCAAGGAGCGGAGGCGGCGAGGGCGGGGAGGCCCCTGCAGCTGAGCGGGGGAGGGGGGCAGTGGGGAGGGGGCCCGGGGCTGCACCCCAGCCACTGGCCGGTCAGGGCCCCCCAGAAATAATACCGAGGGTGATGGCGGGCTTGGGCGCGTCCCCTGGGGCTGGTAGGGACCCCAAAGAGGAGGCCGCCTCAGCCCCCCGATGCCGCCCAGATCTGGGCGCAGGCGGGCGCGGGCCTGTCCGGCAGAGCACATCGGAGGGCCTGCTCTGGGGGCTGCCTGCCGGGTAGGTCCAGGAAGGGGGGACTCAGGAAGGCAGGCCGCGGGACAAACCTCAGCGCCCGGCCCGGCCAGAGGCGGTCAGCTGGTCAGCCGCCTCTCTGGGGCGAAGCCACACTGGGGCCACCCCCAGCGGGGACCGCTGGGCATCTGAACAGAGCCGTGACTCACCGGGGCTCCTCTGTCTTGCCCGCGTGAGCAAGCGGGCGGGGCTGGGGCCTTCACACAGCTGTCTGGCTGCCGCGGGAAAGGTCAAGGGGCCAGGAGGCACCCCAAGGTCATCCCCACGGCTGCCCTGCAGGGGTGCAGGTGCTTGCTCTCTCAGTTTAAGGGCCTGAGTGCTGCTCACTTTTCTAGTAAGACAAGAGTGGGGCCTGGGACGCTCAGCAGGACCCGGAGGCCCAGCTCCGGGTAACGGCGCCCAGGCCCTGGCCCGAGCGGCCTCTGGCAGCCGGAGGCCGCTGTTGGAGCGCAGGGCTTTCTGCCGGGCAGCGCCCAGGCCAGCGGTCCGTCTCGCTGGAGAGCGAGGCAGGTTGGAGGGAGACGGCCGGGGGCGGGGCGCGGGGGGGTCCGAGGGGGAGGCCAGGAGCGGGGGAGGATCCGGAGGCGCCGGGGCAGTGACACAGCGGTCAGCGCTCACGCCGGGAGGCCAGAGCAGCTCTGCAGCTGTCCGTCAAGAGGCCTAGACGCACGCAGAGGCCGTCTTGGGGGACAGCTCTTCACAGTCAGGTATATCGGGGTACCTTAAGAACGGGGGATACCGCGGTATGTGTGCGGGCGCCAGTGCCCGGGGACCCTCTGCCCAGGCCTCCCAGGCAGGACCAGGCCGCCGGGGCAGGGGCCACCTGGGCAGGGTGCAGGCAGAGGGGGAGGGAGCCCCCAGGGAGGCGGGCAGGGAGAGCCCCTGGGGCTCCCAGCAGGACCTGGGCAGGGGCCGCTGGTGCCGCCCCCGGCAGCAGCCTTCCCAGCCTCTTCGTCAGGGTCAGCCACGCCGGTGCTGAGGCCGGCAGCATGTCCCCTGCGGGCGCTGGGGACACAGCTCGGCCGCCTCCGCGAGGGGGCTCAGGGGCGGGGCGTGCGGCTCCCGCCCCGGGACAGGAGGCAGCTGCCAGGGCGTGGGGCCCGCGGCTCTGTCCTGGGGGGGCAGGCGCACCCTGGGGGGCCCAGAAAAGGGGTGAAGGCTGCCGGTGACTGGAGCCCTGGTGCTGGGCGCAGTGGGGAGCGGTGAGCAGCGACACTGCGCGGCACTGGAAATCCCCGTGCCTCTTTTTTTTTTCCTTCAAGATTTATTTATTTGCGCATACAGAACTGGGGTACGGGCTCAGGGGCAGGCTTCCCCAGAGACACAGTGGGGAGCAGAACAGGCAGATCGACGAAGTCCACTGCTGAGGGGAGCAGCGGGCGGGTCAGGAGAGGTCTGCCGCGCCCTGTGGTCACCTCCGGGGCAGGCGGGGATCGAA